GCTAATGGAAATGGTCTTATTATAATACTGCCCCCCCCTGAGAAACCTCGTAACGACGCCCATGAAAATGTCCGCCATTCACCTCCATACAATAGGACAACAACTGTTCAAAGTATTCTCGAACATTGTGAAGAACATCTTTTGTAATTTGTTGGCATTCATCAGTAATGCGGTTCCGTGGATAAAGAAAGAACGATAAAAAAGAAGCCTAATACTTCCTGATAATTCATTTCACTCAAGACAAAAAACAAACACAATAATTGACCATCTATTTTGTCTAGAATTTGTGGTTATGTTATAGAAAAGTTAGGATTAAATTTCTATTTTTGACGATTCAGCGGAGGCTCAACTCATTCACTGGATTTATAGGTAAACCATACTTGTACAACCAGTTCTCAGCTTCAAGTTTAGTTCAACATTTGAACCACACTCGAACCAGGATTCTATGCACAGCCAGGCCTCAGTTTACTTTCAAAAAGAAATATACGTACCTACTTTGTTTTTGTAAATGACGATAAATTGCTATTAAGAACGCTTGAATACACGACATTTATTTGGCGGCGAAGTCAATATAGGAACCTACAAAAAAACTGTTGTTTGCCAGTGGGTTGGGCATCCAGAGGACTTCATAATGATGCAAATAATGGTTGTTACAAAGAGGGATCTATAGTCTGAGGCACGAGAGGTATGTCTCAGGAAAAGGGGGCGGAGGTACAGATTTAATGTATGACAAGTGGGCGGAACAGAGGAAACTATTTGCTTCCTAAGAGCGGGTATTATAAAACTATTTTGACTGAATAACTGAAAGTTAACTTCTGGAATGACGTTGTATACTTCTCATGGTAATTCCAGAAGTTAACTTTTAGTTATTTGGCCAAATAGTTTTATAATACCCGCTTTTAAGTGAAAGTCTTAAAGAGTCTCGTGAATACGGACAAATATTTTTTCTTTTTTGGTAGTCGGAACAACTTTCAATTCTATAAATAAAACTTCTCGATCATTCGGCGTATTATACCAAAATCAAAATCGTCAATTTTAATCTGAACTCGAAGGTGGCGGAGCTTCCGGATTCGTTTTCAAACGCTCCATTGGTTGTCAATTTTTGCTATTGAAGCACTGAAAACAACTAAGATTTCGAGTTTGAATGGACCACGACCACCATTACGACACTGAACTGTCAAAAAAGATCAAGCAACCAATCACAAGGCGCTTCAAACGGCGTCGTGTTGAGGCGTGGGATGTTGACAAACTCTCGCGAAAGTTCAGCAATAGGTATGGATTATAAATTTAAGATGAATTTATTGTCAGGAATTTCATTATAGTGTTATAATGGAATATAATAAAATTGTACCTATCTGCATCATAATTGTAGATCATCTGCTATAATGTTATACCAGATTTGTATCTATAAATTTTTAATGTTTGGCAAATTGACAACATGGACGGTTCCTTTGCTGAACAACTGTTCGTGCTTCAGGCATTACAAAATACATGAATATTGTTTAGTATGGTTGGATTTTTTTAAATTTGTATCCAACGGATAATGAACTGGCGAACCTCGTATAATATATGAAAGACTTCAACGCAAACTGATGAACGTGTTTTGGAACAAATTTTCCTTTTTTGACCGTTGCAATGTGAAACTATCCATCTTATTATTTCCACTGTAAAAATCATTAAATGCACCTTTAGGTTGACTTCAACTATACCGGGTGTATATTTTAAGTGATACCACTATCGCTATATCCGAAACGGTAAGAGCTACAAGGTCATTTAAATTAGAAAAATTTGCCTTTTTTGATACTCGTGTACAATGTTGCCAAATTCCTTTTAGTTTATAAAATACAGGTTCACAACTAGGCCGCATAGAGGTAAAATTTTGGTAAAAGTCACTGATGATCACTTTTTAGAGCATAAACGTCGGCCAATCATACTTGAGAGGTGTATCGTTGAAAAGGGAATAAACGGCGTGACATGCATGACATAAAAAAATCCAGTTCCGTATTTAAAAAAATGGAGCTGATAATGGTAGCTCGATCACGAATCGTCTCGAAACTCAATAGTTTTCAAAATAATTCATGAAATATTTTTAGGCGTCTCTTAGAAATCACCTTGTATTTCATAAACTAAAAAGAATTTGGCAACACTGTAAACGAGTCTTGAATGGGCATCAATATTGGCACCTTTTTTCTAATTTAACCGACCTCGTAGCTCTTACCGTTTCGGATATAGCAATAGTGGTATTACTTAAAATATACACCCTGTATATTTCATGTTGTTTACATTATAAAAAGTTGTTGAAAACTCCTCAACAGCGGAGTCAAACTAGTTTCGTATACAACTTTTGAAGAATAATTCTTTAGACGCAACAAATAAACATTTAAAAAAATAATTTACCTATACTATAGCCACTATAGGTACCTATTAAACCTATTTATTGAGATGTTGCCAAGTTCCGCTCTCCATGTAGGCAAACGATAAATAGAAAAATAAACAACTAGTATCAGAGCTGTTCCGACAATTACAAGTATTCAATACCCCAGTGCCTAAAGTACCGAGTACATTTATAAATACATTCTAATGCCACCTTGCATACCAATGACGTCATAAAAGTTATTACGCAACCTCCTCTTTCAAACAGCCTTGATTATACATAAAAACCTAATGCCACCTTAGGCCGCAAACGCGGTAGTAGCTGCGGACTAATCACTGCGCATGGGTTATGACGTCACACCCCCTTCCACACTTCCGTCCCATTTCCCGAAATTTACGCTCAAATCGCCGGTATAGATGTTTAAACATCAAAAATTAACAAACACATTTTGGTTTACTATAAATTAATTCAGCAATTTTAATGTTTGGTTTGACAGACACAGTCTCATATTGCACAGGAAAGTTCAAGATTTTTGTTTGCAAATCACATCGATCAACGGAAGGAATGCTACGCATCTGTACGCTAAACAAGAAATGCTATAAAATTGTTCGTATCGTAACATAATGTCAGGTCTCAACTTGTCTGGAAACGTACTTGTGGCCAAATAAATATGTACTTGAGTTCAATAATTTTACTCTGTAACTGCAATTGTATTCGAAAACAATGAAAATACTCGGGTATAACAAATGTATTCGAGTATAAAAGCATGTGTACGGATATTTCAATATGTACTCAGTACAATAATTAAAAGTGCCGGGTATTTTTTATATTCTAAAGCAGTTCAAGTACAAGTATATATGATTCAAAAACTCTCTTGGCCGGAGTTTCTCAAAATGTACTTAGAGTACAAGTGAAGAGTACTTGTACCTCAGTACCGCACAGCTCTGTCTACGATTAACAAGTCTCCAAGCTATATGCTCACAAAAAAAAAAAAATATTTTTTTATAGGAATATGAAATATTCTTGCAGGCAACTATAGGTACCGAGTGTCAAGATATAAAGTACCACCACCTGTAATTTTTCGTATGTACGATCAAAAATAGAAAACTTACAGGTGGTGGTACTTTAAAACTTGACACCCTGTCCTGTACTTGATTCAATTACGCAATAGTACATAGCATCGGGGCGATGGACGGTGGTCAGGGTGTGTAAAAGGGCAACGTAAATCTCACGGAAGCGTGTCAATCAAAATAAGAAAAAAATATATGGTATGGGGGTTCTTCGTTTCAGAAACGCGCCAACTGTCGAATGACTTATAATTATTTATTGCAGCTACTAAACAAATCCAATTTATTATCGATAATTTCAATTTTCATTATTCACACTGTCTGTCTGCCGGTCACGGTTACCATTTTTAATAGAGACCATTTTAGTAAATTTAATTGTTGACACACAAAAGTATAGAGTATAGGCAAATTTTAGGGAAATTAAATCGTTCACACATGTTAAAAATTTAAAGGGAATTTTGGACAATTAGCTGTTCACACCTAGCGCCTGATTCTCGAAACGAGAGGGCAGGGTTCCTATGAGAACTAGTTTCTTGCCCTACTCAGTTCCGTAAAAAATCTCATATGCATGACAAAGGCAGAAAATTTGTTCTCATGATAATGTTGCTCCCTTGTTTCGAGAATCCAGCGCGTGACTGCAAGTCGAAGAACAACCACCCTCATCCTACGAAAATTTAATCTTATATATTTTTGGCTCAACTCCATTAAATGTATTGGCCTCAATTTGGGTATTTTATTTTTCCTCATGTTTTGGAAGAATTTTCAGGTGAAATGAATTTCCAAGATTATGTTGTTTAGTACCTTATTTAAACTTGATGGCAATTGGCAATCTGGGAAATTATTTTTAGGTAAGGGCGTACAATTGAGAAGAGTCATTCGAACCCATCTGGTTGATTTGGCGGGACAGTAACGCTATTTTTGGGCAATTTAGCAGGCATTTACCTAACCCTAGAGTACTAATATGATTTAATAATACGGTAATACTAGTTCGTTATAAAATTTGCAACTGAATAAATAGACGATACACATTCTACAAAATTGTGATTCATTTCATCAGAAGTTGCATAATAATTAGGTGTGCCATTCAAAATACATGGTAGGGAAAAAAATCAACACCAATTAAATAAAAACATGCACATTCCGGACAATAATTTCTTTCTCAGCTAGATCTGTCTGTTTAGCAACGCGCATGTTTTGTATTAGGGGAGAGTCGGTGAATTGTGCGCACCTAAGGAAAAAGAAAGATATTTTCTAAAATATGGCTCATGGAGCTCTGAAATTTGGCATAGATATTCTTCTGTGTTTTAGCTGACAGCCCAAATCAACCAAAGATCACAAAGAAAATATTGTGAGCCTAGGGACAAAATTAGATAAAAACTGACACTGCGCACGATTATCCACCCTATGCGGTTAATGGTGCGCACTAGTCAGGGCAATTGTGCGCAACAGAAAACTATCGAAAACTATCGGATATAAAGGGTGGAATAAAAACAAGTGAAACAAAGTACATAATACGTTTATTGCAAACATAATATTAAACTAAATTAATGCATAAAAACCTAGTGGTCGCAAAAGTCGCAGATGTAACATTCGGGGGAGTCTACCCCACTGCAAAGCTCCTGCGCCCATTTGCCGCAGATCGCACACTGAAACCAGTATTCGTCTTTCTTGCTCCAGTCGTCGCAAACCAAACGTCTGTCTCCGAGATTGACCTCCGTGTCATCAAGTTCATCATCATCACATAACTGGCAGTCTGGGACTTCTTCTTCAAAAACCTTCCTTTTAACGGTCTTATTATTTTTAGCGGGATGTTTTGCACTCGCTTTACCTTTTTTTGACGGTTTTTGTTCTAATTTTTTTTCCAAATTTGCTTGCCTATCTTTTTTTTTTGACTCGCAGGCTATCAAAAGTTCTTTATTGGGTGTCTCCGTTAAAATTTCGGATTTCTGTAAGAGGACGGATAATTGTGCGCGATGCGCACAATTAGCTAACATGGACCTGATTGTAATAAAAATTCACAAAAATGAAATTGTACGTTATTTACCTTGGAAAAATTTCTCCAGTAATAGTAGGAATCCCACTGATTATTTTGGTGAAATTTCCGAAACAGGAATGTTCCTATTTTCAAAGTTATCGCTTGTTTTCACCCGCTTAAATTTTAATATAAACAGTCGGATAAACCGCCAAACACGATCACCGATATGTTTAAGCAGCAAATCGCACGAAAGTCAGCGTTACTTTCAAAGACATCTATGAGACGGCGCCACGTGTACGAATTTGATCAAATAATAGGCGTTTTCGTATGGTATTATGGTGCGCACCATTAGCCGCTGCGCACGTTTACCCGACTTCCCCCTACGTCTCATGTTGGACGCAGCAAGGCTTTTATTGGGCTGCTTATCAACCTAAGAACATATTACAAATAAAATAAATAAATAAAAAATAATAAAGAAATGTAAGAAATTCCATAAAAAACACAAATGCAATCTTCGTGTCTTGAGCGGGGCATACTACAAAGGAAATAATCCAATCATCCATGGTAATCGATATTGCGGTTACTACCATGGAGGAATTTTGCTAATTCTCTCATCTCAGCCATTGCTAGATGCAGACCTCCATTACCAGTGCTTTTTCTCAGATGTGAACCTGCAAGAATCATATATTTGGATGGGATGTTGAACCGTATGGCGTGGCAAAATGTATGTCGTACTTTGATGGTTTGTTATGAGGTTTGTTCGGAATAGCCAAAATTAATGCTTCAAAATATCAATTGTGTAGGCGATTGTCTTTCTTGGCATGCATAATTCGAAAACTTCCGCGCAAAATTTCATCAGCGTTAAGTTCGGATTTCCAAAATAAAATATGACCGTAAATTTTATTAGTATTCTGGGTTGATTGGTAATGTTTGACACCTTTTATTATGAACCAATTTTCTATCACACGAGGTCTAAAATTATATCTGCATACCACTGGTATCTATTTTTATAACAAAATCGCACAAAATACGCTGTTGACAAATAACATAGGTATGGGTATATAATCTGTTCATAAAGTCTATAGACTGAAGGGAAATGTTTGATCGGAGATGGTCGACGCTGATTGGCTAGATTTTGGGCCCTCACTAGGGTCACAAGTCGGCCTCCTAATTTTGGCCAATCCGCGTCCAGATTCTCAGATCACGCACTTGTAGTAGACTTTATGAACGGACTATAGAATTTAATGGACCCACTAACAGCCATTTGCACTGCTATAGCTTAAGGGATATTTATTCCAAGTAGAGCTTTGAATGTGACTCTTGAAGAAACAAAAGTCAAATTCAAAGCTCCACTTAGATTAAATACCCCTTAAGTGATAGCCGTGCAAATGGCCATAAAGAGTCCTTAGTACAAGGCGACGCAAGTCACCCCCCACCCCTCCAAATCTCGCGTTAAATTTTTCTTATCGTTTATCAATAAAAATAGATGAAGAATGTTTTTCTGGTGCAAACTACGTATCACTCGGGTATTGAAGTTATAAGTTCCGGAATTTTCTTCAGTGTATATAGATATTTTTTTACTAGAAGGTAATCTACTGCAACCAGACACCATCCATTTTCGCGAAAAACATTTTAGGCCAGAAAAATAAAACAAAAATCTAATAAGCAAACCCCTAATTGGACAAAATAACTGCCTAAAGTCAACAAATTTCGGGGAAATTGCATATTTAGTTAGAAAATTGAAATTACAAGTCTCAATTCCACTTGTCGACTTTTGGGCTTTGGCACAAGATCAGTAAATAATACTGTCACGGCTTTGGATTGCCTGACAGAAATCTTGGGTTCGTTTCGTTTATTTCAAAAATCAAAGTCCAATTAACACAGCAATAATTTATTCCACGTAACAATACACTCTGACACTAATTACTTTAATAACGAACTCAACAATTAAAGTTTTTACAATAATAATCACTATTTAAATCGTATCACAGTCTAACTCAAACTTAAAAACTACAAAGCAATAGCGGCCTTTATATATCCCTAAATCTATTCCTGTAAAATCTAGAATACACACGTTAATCTTATTTTCCCGATTAAAGTAAAATAATTCGCCAGATTCTAGGATATTCGACAGCAGATGCAAAGGATTCTTGACAGCCTGGCGGACGCCTATTCTGGCGGCAGCGTTATCGTAACAATACTATAATATCTATTCTAGTCTTAACCTAATATCACCATCTATTCGTTCTATCGTTTTGCATTAAAAAAAGAATAAAAACACTATGTGACTTGGCATTTGTAGAGGAAAATGTCGCAAGGGAAACTGCTTGAAAAATGGAAAAAAGTAACTCAATGCATATAGTGTCAAAGACGATTCATATTTTTCAACTACACCTTTTAGAGAACAAATACATCTCATTTTACCATACAATTACGAACAAGCACTTTTATCACCTAAGTTAATGTTAGTTTCTTAGCTGAGCTAAGTTGTTTTATCCTACACGAAAATACGGCTACCTTAGCAGGGGTAAAGAGGGTGGTGAGATTCTAACAAACCGATTCCTCTGGACTGCGGTTCACTTATGCCCGTTTTCCCACCATGTTTTGGGGTTGATTTGAAAACGCCTAGTGATATTTCATTTGTTCTGTGTTCCGTATTTGACATAAGGGACATTGAAGAACTCAAGGCACAAAAATTGGCGCCTAAAAACAAAAACACATGTTGACGAAAGGACTACTCTAAAAAGGCCTAAATATAAGTGCTACATACATACTGTGATGGCAAAAACTTACTAAGCACCGTAGTTCACTTTAAATACATGAATGCCATCTTTAAACATGCCTTGCAAATCTCAACATTCATGAAAAATATAAAGTGGCTCAGAGGCAAATGAATTCCAAAAACATAAATTACATAAGCCACAGCAACGCCAAAAAATTACAAAAAAAAACGTGCTCAAACTGAAAACATTAGAAATTCACAGAAAATACACAGCCTCTTATGAACGTCACGTTTGCTATGCCATGTCCACGGTGCCGTCTGGAATATTAAAAAATTGACAGTACGTTAAACATCAACTCGCCCTAATGCAATTAACAAACGGCCCGACCAAATAAACAAACTTGTAACCTCACTTTTACCGGCGCTTTACTTTTACGATTTTTTTGGTGTTTTGAAGTGTGGCAATTTTGGTAGCTTATTCATGGTAATCATATGATTTTTGATGACGACGACGAGGAGAAGAAGAAGCTGGTCCTTCTGCAAAGGTTGAGGGCTATGCAGAAGAAATCGTACCACATTTTTCTAAGATGTAGTTCAAGAAGCACTTTCGTATGTTTTCAGCAACTTTTGAAGATTTTTTACAAAAGCTTCATGATGTGAGCAGATTAATCTCTTTCCTCGGTCTAAATACTGCGTGCAAACAGATTTACGTCCGACTGGTCTGAGCGAAATTAACAAACGGTTCAGATTTGCCTTCCCTTCATCTAGATGCAATAAACCAACGATTCAGATCGAGAAGATTGATCAGACGGTAAAAAAGAGCGCAGCTTGTCGTCTAAACCAAAGTTTACTGATACAAACGTTGGTAAACGGTTTGCGATTGTTCTGCTGAACGCTACGTTGAATTTGTGTTAAAACCAAACATGCTTTGCAAACGGTCGCCATTTTTGCAAGCATAATTTCAGAGTGTTTATAATTTTCAACACTGTGTTTTGTGTGGTGACCTGTCATTCAGAAGGTGACGTTCTATCATTAAAAAGTTGAATCGTTCAGCAGAACCAAGAGTTTACCCAACATATTCTGTTGTATTTGTAAACTGTTCACAATTCATTTTGGTTCTGGTGAACGTAGCCAATGTCGCAAGTCGCACATCTAAAACTTTTTGATATGCCATAATCAGGCCTATGATGTACTACCTATTCTCTCCTGTTTGTTTTGTGGAATTCTCTAGAATCGTATCAACAATACCCCTGTCTGAAACAAATTGAAAAACGGCAACTCTGGGTCTTCGAACTACCGTAGCAGTGTTCCTGATGATGTACCTCCTACCTCTACCTCACCCTTTTTTCTTGCCAACTCTTCTCTTGCTTTTTAAGTTTTCACTTCAACTTTGGCTCCAATTTAAAAATAATATCTTTGTCTAAAATGAAACTCCAACAAGACAAGTAGGTAATGGCCATTTTTTCATGCTTTGTCAAAGGTTTATTTCGCGACACTCTGCGGCTGCGTGTGAACGAAATGTCGTTGGTGTGAACGTGGGATCGAATGTCGAGCAATGTTATGCCAATAGATGCTGCATCGTCACCGTCTGAACGAGCCTTTTACTGTGGAAACTGGCTTTTGGATTTTTATGTTTATCTATAGAGCGAGAACCTGAATAAGGTGTTCATTTGTACTGCTTTTCTTGCTTCAAGCAAATCTCAGCAGCAGATCGGCGTTCACTTGTCTTAAGAGCTGATATGTATGCTCTCAAATAGCAGCTCCTAGCAGATCTTCCTGATTTTTCGAGCAAGTACAAAATGATGAACAACCTTAATAACTGTCCCCTCCTGCTAATTTAAGGCGCACTCAGGTATCTACGTTGCATTAATAAGTGTGTCCCGAAGATAGCAGGGAGGTCCGCGCTGTATAGCTGATTCAAAACAAATCCGTCGCACGTCACAATGTGTCCACCAGAGCTGGAACTCTGTAACGGATAGAGATCGTTATCCCTATCGCTATAGCACTTGCTGTCTTCTTCGCTCTTCTCGAAATCAATAGAGAGGGGACGTTAATAGAGATAGAGAAAATATCTCTATTCGTTACAGAGTCCCAGCCCAGCAAACCTAATATAAACGCAGTTGTCTCAGTAAAGGTACGGTTTGTTAGGATAGTAGGCGACGTACAACTGACAACGTAAACGTCGTCATTGGTTCAGTTATGACATACGCCTGTTTTCTGACGCTGACGTCAGGTAACGGGTGTACGTCATACCTGAACCAATGACGACGTTTACGTTGTCAGTTGTGCGTCGCGTA